ACATTGGGTGCCGACTAAAGTCAACAGTGAGTCATAGAACGATACAAGCTACTGGGGCCCCCCACGTAGCACAGCGGTATGTCTGCGGACTTACAACGCTAGAATCCGGGTTTCGATACCCGTGGTGGGCAGAGCACAGATAGCCCATTGTGTAGCTTTGTGCTTAACATAAAAAACAAAAAACAAAACAAACTCGACTTTAACAATACTCAGTTCAATTATACACACACTGTTCCCGTCACGTTGTGACCGTCTTATATATACAAGACCATCACATTTCTAGTAAACGCTAGGGTATTCATGAAGAAACAGGATATTTCTAGAAAGACGTGGCGTGATACTAGTCACATGACCTCGCTGACGCAACAATATGTTACAACACAAGTATAAAACTAGTGACTTGGTAACTAAGGTAATTTTGTAAGACTTTTTAAAGATTATTTTAGAAAGAATATGAAGTAAAAGCGACCGATTTTTTATCCCAAAAGGCTATATTTTACAAAGTTCTACTCTCCCTGATACATCGTAAACGTTTTGTAGATTCGTAAGCCAAATTCAGTAATCAAAGAGCATAACGAAACAATGCAAAAACTTTAAACTTATTAAGACATGTAGAAAAATAAATGTGTCAGGCAGAAAGAGACAAGTTAATACTAGAACTTTTACAAAGCCTTCTAGAATCGAATACAATTAATGCAATACATGAGCACCGAAAATATTAGTTTTTCTATATTGATTACAATGTGTGATAATCGTCGTCTCCCCGAACACTGATAAAATACCATTCCTAGTTTTGAGCTCTGTATCGAGCAACTACGAGTTAATTTCAAGGGTGGGAAAAGCTCTGCTAACGCTATCCCAACTAACAAGTAAACCCTTGGGGTTGGCACACAGCCATAGCCGTATTTCACTTACATAAGCAAGTTAATATTCAGACATTTTTAATGGTAGATTACAATTGTCTAATGGCCTTGGCCTAATGCTAAATATCGCCAATAAACACACGTGGGATGAAATACAAATCTCATGTACGCAAGTAACAAACTTAAAAAATCAGATATAGTAAAAATGAATCAAAAACATTGAGAAATAAAAGCAATAAATTATATTTTTCCTGCATATTTAGCAATTCATAATGTAGAACCTATAATGGGTGGATGTACAAACGGTTCTGTATTGAACAACTAGTAGAAAAGCTATGGTTCATTATATAGCAAAACAAGGGCGAAGCACGTTGTACAATAGTGTTTACTAAAACAATTAAACTAGTACAGAATAATTCTAGAACAATGAAAATATGTTGCTTATGTTTTGTCGGTCATTTTGTTTATTAAATACTTCGGGAACTAAGAATCTGAGTCACTTCCTTCAACATTAACGTCAAGCGATGTGCAAGAGATCAGAAAAGAAAGAGTTGATCTTTTCTTAAACATTAAACACGAAACAGACCGACAGAAAATTAATTTCGAATTACGATATTTATTTTTGTTTTTCAGTGAGTGGTGCTCCTGAATGTGTAAGTAAATGGTTGTGAAAGACAACGAATAAAACATGCGTAGGCATGCAAACATCTTTTTGTAGTTTTGTTCTACTCCTTTTACAAATTAAGATAGATCTCGTAAAAGAGCAAACTGAAAAAAACAGGTCTTTTTCATTTCGTAGATGATATGTGATATTTAAAAACTTGACCAATGATTTAGGAATGTATATTTTGATTAAAAAGTTAGCACACGGGATCACGTACAAAAGTTGTAATGATTTTCAAACGAGACCCAAAACTCGAGCGCTTTCTAATAGTTCACTATTATTCTCGAAATAGTGGATGGAGATATTTTATAAATCAAGTCGGAGTTGATCACGTTGATCAAAGTGTAGATTGAACTGGACCTTCCTCGAACTTACACTTCGAAATTAAACAATTTTCGGAATACTAAGTGGTGTTTTTCTAAACACTATTTAAAACAGAGACAATATGACAGAATATATTAAAATAATCAGAGGAAAGAACGTTTTTAATTTTTACTATAAAAATATTATGAGACTCTTTCATTATCATCAGAATCCAAAGCATTCAATTTTAGAGCATTAAAGAAATTTCGAAATTAGTTTATTCAAGGCTAAAACACATGTCAAGATAAATATGAAAATCGTGTAGTTTGATTGGTATGTTTAACCTAAAACTGTTTATAAGGCGAGTAATAAAACATGCAAGACCTTACATGCATCATCATGTAATTTGCATAATACGTAAATTTGATATTGTAGTTTGTGTTATGTTCATTTTAAAAATATGTCCAATAAGAGTTAATTACAAAACGAACAAAAATAAGGCTAACTGGTTCAGTCGTTTACAAATGTATACTTTAGTATATTTTTCTAGTGAAAACAAAATATGCTACGAATAAAAATAATAATTTCAACTTACCATTTTTGCTTATATACACCATATCTATCTGTCGGGTTTTTGTTTTTCTGTTGTAGATTACCTATTAATATAAATGTAAGTAATCTTTACATATGTTTATTTTTATTCTTAGATTCGCAAAATAATTAAACATAGAGTCCGTATAAATTACATCCCATCGAAACTAAAGAGTTCTATGGAGAAAATAACAAGAAGAAGAGGGTTTAAGCAAGTCGAGCAAAAAAAAGGTGATTGATTTAATTTATATTCCTTGAAGTCAGTATATTCAGCAGACGTGATAATTACTAGTTTGTTAGTTACTGTTGAATATTCACGAGTTTTGTTCCTCCATTTTCTCCTGCACATCGTTACGGTTTAAATAAAAATTAAATGATCTACTAGAACAATCCGACAAGAAGCCCTAATCTTGTAAAATCGTGGAAGCCGAATGCTTCCATAGGTAAGATGTTACAAGATTAGTTGTACGTGTACAACTTAAAGCCAATGAGGCTCATAATTTACTCTTCTTCTCAACTAGTAATTACTTCGGTGTTTCGAACAGCCCTCTGATTAGAGATTAAAGTTTTCTGGTCGTGAATAATTAATATTATTTGACACCTTGAACACTAACAAACTTCTCATAATTGACGAGTACATAAAAGGTACATCAAAATTGTTATTCGAACTATAGATAATACATGCTACTGTAAAACAGCAATTTGGCGATTAATGGACATTTCTTAGGGGTTGTAACAAGTTCTTGTAAATTCCAGGCTTACCGCAAACTTCTTGTGAAGTTTGCGATCTCATCCTTTAAAATAAGTTCAGACTAGTGAAAATATTTCTAAAATTGAATGAGATGACAGATTCACACTTTCGTATCATTTTATATGCTAATAATTTCAGCGCACAAGAACTTTGTCCAATTCAATAAAACATTGTAAGAGAAAGGCAAACTCATACCTGAATTATAAACTGACGTGTAGTATCACACATTGTGTAATGATTGTTATGCAATTACTTAGATAAGGTGAGATTAACCCTCTCTCAGTTTAAAATGTTATACGTGATTTTCACTTGCTAGAACTCTATCAACTAGAACTCTATTATTTCGTTAGAAGGAAGAGTGAGAAAAGAGTTGAAGCACAACTTTATGTGTTCAAGAGTGAGAAAAGAACTGAAGCACAACTTTACTTTATGCGTTCAAGAGTGAGAAAAGAACTGAAGCATAACTTTACTTTATCTGTTCAAGAGCGAGAAAAGAACTGAAGCACAACTTTATGTGTTCAAGAGCGAGAAAAGAACTGAAGCACAATTTTATGTGTTCAAGAGTGAGAAAAGAACTGAAGCACAACTTTACTTTATGCGTTCAAGAGTGAGAAAAGAGCTGAAGCATAACTTTACTTTATCTGTTCAAGAGCGAGAAAAGAGCCGAAGCACAATTTTATGTGTTCAAGAGCGAGAAAAGAGCTGGGGGACAACTTTACTTTATGTGTTCAAGAGTGAGAAAAGAGCTGAGGCACAACTTTACTTTATCTGTTCAAGAGTGAGAAAAGAACTAAAGCACAACTTTATTTTATCTGTTCAAGAGTGAGAAAAGAGCTGAAGCACAACTTTATGTGTTCAAGAGCGAGAAAAGAGCTGAGACACAACTTTACTTTATCTGTTCAAGAGTGAGAAAAGAGCTGAAGCATAAGTTTACTTCATGTGTTCAATATTTAACAATACAGTGCCTACAAATCCCTCTAAGATTATAATATTTTATTTATTAAGGGTTAGTTAACCCTTGGACAACAGAATGTAGAATGAAGAGACTGTTTGTAAAACCTTATTGTAAGTTTTTTTTATCCTGCCCTATTTCCAATATATTCTTCAATAAACAAAATATGTGGTGTTTGTTCATGTTCATATTGAGAATAAAATATAATTATAATTGAACTGTAGAACAATTCGATACATGACATTGTAATACTGAATGATGAACGGTTCTTTGTTGACCAAATAACGAGCATTGAATCCAAACCATGGAAACTTAAGTAAAAGTGCACACCTAAGTATAAAAGATAGTGTCTGGATTCATGTTTCTTGCCACTTTTATGGTTTCTTTTATGATTCGTTATTACATAACATGCTGACTGGCTGCATCTTTGTATATTAGAAACCAAAAATATGATACAAACCTGCGCGCTACTGTTAGGAAATAAATTGTAAGTATATATGATACTAAGTATTGTTTTCTGGGACATAACTCTGTAACCTATTTCTGAAAACTCCTCTCGGTATTTAAGTAAATTATGTTAAATACACATCGGTATATCATAGAAACATAAGTTTTATAACGAATTATTGTCTTAATTATTAAACCCCACAACTTCAAATTTAAAGAAATGTAAGTTACATTTTATATGGATCAGAAGAATGTTGTCAAATTTAAATATTATCAATACACAAACGTTAACTCTTGTCAATAACAATAACGGAGTCAGACGTGGACTAGTGGTTATCGTAACTTGTAAGGTTCAATATTTCTACTGTTATATACCACTGGCCACTGCACTTTCACTGAAAGGGCGTTATAAATGTGACAGTCATCGATGTTATTCGCTTAAACAAGGCCGTGTAGGAAGCGGTGTTGATTTTCCTCTGGCCATCTGTTTTTTATTAGAGACGCCTTTGGCCGTTTCGCTTATGTGTCGCATTAGGTCCCTATCAGGTTGAAAATACCAATACGAACAATAACAATAGCTTTCTTTTCCAAGAAAAAAATACGAATAACCAAAAAATTTGAATTCTGAACATCCAATAGTACTGAGTTTTAACTTCTGATTAAAGCAGGTTATAATATACAGTACTGTGCAAAAGTGTTAGGTCAAAGTCAAAAATTAGATTTCAGGCTACTTTCAAAGAACAATGGAAGTTAAATACAGATGAAACATCAAAATTTTATTCATCTTTACATTTAGTACAACAGAAACTCAGTGGAAGTGCTTGAGTTCAGCTTTTGTTTTAATAACTGCACATATTGTGTACTTTGGGATTTTACTCCAAATGTCTCTAATACACTCCCATAAAATTTCCTTGGAAGTAACTTTTGATTTGTTTTTATCAAATCCCAGATCTGCTCAATTAGGTTGAAATCGGGGCTCTATGGGGGCCATTGCATCATTTGAATGACTCC